ATGGTAGTCCCAAAAATCGAGTTGAGAAACGAAAAATAAGTAATTGATTGATTGTTTTATTAACAATCCCACCACAGAATATGATATGGGAAAATGCCTGGCATTCCTTGTATTACCTTCTTACATTTTGTTCAATGGAACTCGCGGCGATGTTGTGTGGTGGGTAGAATGTCAAGCTTGTACGCTGAGCTATTATGATTCGATTCATGATAGTAAAATTTCCGAACAAAAGGTACCGAGTTAAATAGAAAGAATAGTCTGATCGCCATAAGCGAGGTATGACCTAAAAAGAATAGGGTTCAGAGACAAATGTAATATGAGCAGACTAATTTTCTATAATGCAATCGGTTTAATGAGCCAAAATATATTTTAGTGTAAAGTAGGTTAATATAGGATAAACTCTACGCTAAATTCATGCTAACAATAAGGAAAAAGTGTATCTCATCATGCTAACTGTTTGTGAGTCTTTCGTTTAATATTATAGAAACAGGTTGCAAAACAAAATGTTATAGCAAAAAGGAACTAAAATGTCAATCATACCAGAAATATACTCAAGAGGCGGCTAATAATCATCGGTGGCTAAAACTCTCCATTTTGAGAATATTTCTTTAATTACGCATGAAAATAATTTTTTATTGTCCTACTCTATTGTACACTGCATCGTGTACATCTTGGATTTAGCAGACATTCTGTTAACCTAAAACATTCGAGTTCAGAGCCATCAAGCATCTCCTGCATGTCTTAAGTACCATTTTACTCAGTCTTTCTTCATGTTCATACACTTAATGGCTGCGTGCATATTTGCCTTTTCAGATTTCGAATTTCATGCTGCCACGCCACTAGATATAGGAAAATTACATTTTATATTATTTATATCCTATTTCGCTAGTTATGAGCAAGGCTGATGAAGTTGAGACGGGTTGACTTTCAGTCAGTTTACGAGATTGAATTTAAAGTTTTATGCAATATTCTCTAAAGTTTTTCATGCATTATTTAATCCTTACTGTCTACGACAGCATATGGAAAATAATACAACTTATCAGCAACACCATATCCAGTTATTTAATGAAGATAGTCATGGAATTACCATATTTTGGCTATATTTGGCCCAGATTCCATCCTAAGCAAATAGAAAGTGAGGAAGCACACCCATAATAACTTTCTTTAAACTATTCTTAGGTTCACTAAGATGTTAACTTGAGCCTAAACCACACTAAAGCTTTAGTACAATATAATATAGTGTGTTCGTGTTGACATCATATAATAATTTATAATACGATAATGCTTAGACTGGCCTATCATAACACAATGTGGTACAAGGCTACCTGATAGTGCATAATGAACTAATTTACTTTTATTGGTATATACATAAAATGGCCTATTTATTCTGTAATTTCGACTAGGTATATAAAAATGTTTACAGCTTTTGAATACTCTTCCCGATACTTAGTCCCACATAAATCTATATCTATTATAAAATCAAGCTGTTTATCGTTGTTCACTCAACTTGAAGGAGTTATTGTATTATGTTCAGTTCAATGAACAGTGAGTTCCTTTTCCAGAATTCGTCCAGCAATTGAATTCAGCTAGAAAGATTGAGCATAAACTCAATCATACATATAAACACATATACTTTATCGGATAATGAGTATATATATATATATATATATATATATATAGCTCTCCTCCAAGCATTTTATTTCCAATCTCCATCTAACAAATACAAATAAACGATTTTGGAGCTAGTTCAATTTGTCTCCATTCGACTGCTCGCTATTAGAGCGGCCGTTTCTGGATAAACAATAGGCATCTTAGGCCTTATATTATAATTTATTTACTACATACTAAGGTGTGATGTTACTGGTAAGGACATTTTCTAAAAATTTGTTTTCGACATTTTTTAATTCGGTTGAATTTAGGATGTCATAACTTTTATAACTCCCTCTAATTCCACCAACATATTTGTCCGCAAAACGTTTGATCTACTTTTGACGTTTGTGCTTTGAATTCAAGATGTAAGCTTGTTATCTTTTCTCTTCAGAAAAAATGAGTGGATTTACAAGACACGACTATATCAGCGATGCCAGACCAGCTGAATCCACATCATCTGTCAGCGGCCTGACCTCTTCCTCTATTTGTCTGCCACCTTCGATTCGCATTGTCATTGCCCGTGCTGCAGTGGGGTTGCCAGACGAAATGGCGGCTATTCACTATCAACAACAACTGCTGTTTGATAGTCAGAATATATTGGGATCTATTTGGTGAGTGTAGCGTTAAAAAATATAGAGAAATATGCGACCAACATTGTGGACTAAACAGGAGCAACTGTACTCCTAACATGCCAGGTTCCGATAAGTCTGTACATACCTAGGGATCTGATCTAGTCTTTTCCACTGTTTTTCGTGCTTATGACACTCTTACTATACTCTTGGGCAAGAAACCACATTTTATGAAGTCAAATTTTATAGTTCTTGAATATATTTCTCATCACTGTATTTAGAGGATATAATTACATTATTCTATAGAATTAAACTCTAGAATTTAGACAAGGGCATTGTTTGCTCACTAAAATGTCAAACGACAATATGCATAATTTAAATAGATTATTATCACATAGCACAGAAGGCAAGTTAATAACAAGACTTTTTTATAAAAAAATACATTGCGATTATAGATAATTTGGTAGGTAAATCTATTCCTTATTATAAAGGCCAAAAAAGATAATTATTTTTACACATTCTAGAGAAAGATTAAATATTCGGCATACTAATCTATTATTTAAGCGGGTAACTATCCATTAACTTATTAAGAAGATTCAATCAGAAGTCATTCATAGGCAAACTGGCCTGTTAACTTATCCTCATCTAATCGAAGGTATGAAGACCGAGATGGTGTGGCATTCCGTGTGATCGCAGTCTCCTTTCAGTATATAGAGCGCAAGCTCAAACCAACCCGGGAAAATTTTGATGTTTCTCTATTGAAGACATCAATTGCTACAGACGACGATAGGACTAAGGTAATAATCCTATCTTCAATCCATCTTGATTCTGAAATTACGGATCTCTTAAGAATGGGTTACATTTTTCAATAGGCAATGAAGGAAACGTTCTTAGTGATATTCTGGTCCAAGTTGTAACATAACGGATAAATATCCAGAAGAGACAAGGTGGGAGATGAAACTGGAAATAATCCCACGGATCCTGACACATCAAGAACCGATCCACAGGATCAGATTGGCTATATTTGAGAAAGCACACATGACGAAAGAATGATCAAATACTTCTTCAAGAGGATAAGGGGGGAGTGACGATTATAATGGACCGGAAACAACACTCCGAGAAAATTGAAAGTAGCCTCGGTTACCGGACAACTTATCAATTACTAAGGAAGCATCCAACCATCAAGATCAACTGGACATTTAAGAATATACTCAAGGAAATGCATAACAAGGGAGAAATTGATGGACGGATGATAAAATCTTTAATAAAAACATGTCGCAAGACCACCAACAGCCTACGGACTACCGATAATACACAAGAAAGGAAATCCGCTAGCGAAATTCATTTGCTTCAAGCTTAAGAAAGTAAATGACAGACTCTCGAATACCGTCGAGAATTCATATGAATTTTATGAAAGGATCCAGAAAATTGGGTTATTGGGGTCGGAACTGTTGGTGAGTTTTGAGGTACAATCCATGTACACAAACATTTTAAGTGAAAAGGCAGTAAGCGCTTTGTTGGAGAAGCGTCCTGGTGGCGGAACGGATACGGAAAGAATCGTTAACACGACTGATCAACCTGACAATAAGGACCACAGATTTTACATTTAACGGCAGCATCTACGAGCAAATATTTGGACTACCGATGGGATCTCCACTGTCACCTCTTTTGGCAAATGTGTACATGCACAAGTTGGAAAGGGAATTTGTGAAGTCACCACTGTACCAAGAATGCTTATGCGATACTTTGATGACTAATTTGCACTTTGGTCAAATGGGAAGGAAAATCTAAATGAAGTCCTCAATTTTATTAACCAACTTGACGGAAGAATTAAATTCACAATGGACGTGGAGGAGAATGAACGACTACCCCTTCTGGATATTGAAGTCATGCGCACCAGAGAGACACTCATGAGGAAACTTTACAGAAAGAATTCGCAAGGTGACGAGAAAGGAACAATTGGAAGCACAGAGAAGACGTCTTCAGTGAGCTTAATTGAAAACAAGTAGAACCCCGACATTTGTGGGTTGGCACACAAGAGACTAGGGCATGTGAAATCATAGACTTGGTATTAGGAATAGAAACAGGATAGACACGGCGGAGATTGGAGCTAGTTGCTGACAGTAGCTTTTACCAAAGACGTGGTCCATGTGGCGAAGTTGTGACCGTAAAACTTATTCAGAGGCTTTAGCATCGAATTATTCACCAAGACTGAGGGGAGGGCAAATAACGCTTCGAGTAGCACAGATCGGGTGGCAGGGTTCGAGTGGAATACGTGTTTTTTTTGCATTTAAGTATTGTTTCGAGACTACCATTAAATCAGTAATATGAGATGTATTCACCCTATTTCGTTTACTGGTAGTCGATTTTCCCACAAAGATATGAGTAGAGCTGACGTTTCCATTGAATTTGACAGAGCCTTGCTTTCCCATCCCAGCTTGAGTGGAGTACAGTTTCGACCTCGAATCGGTCTTATAAACATCCTCAGCGGGATTCGAACTGTGGCAGTGCAGAATGGGAGCTGACACATTAAATACTCGACCACATTGCCACGAGTGGCCTTGTGTCACAGGACAAATGTGC